CATGGCAATGAAGCATGACAAGCTCAGTTACATGTTCTATATCTCTACTTTAAATCACCTTTGTAGAAGCAATTAATAAGTATCTCGGTATAGATTATTGTATGAAATATAGTCTTAGTGGCCTGAAAGATAAGTAATATATGAAAGAAATATAATATAATATAATATAATCTAGAAGTCTTACAACAGTAGTTAAACAGTATATAATTATATAGTTCTACATTACTGCTGTAACTTCATTTTTAATCAATTAGATGACAAATGCCGGTAGATGGGTTTTAAATATTTATGTTAGGAAAAGAAGAACATGAATAAAAAGGAAATATATTGAATTTAAATGTTTGACCATGAATTGATAAATTATTCCTGTGAACCATGCAGGTTCAGTTTGCATTGTGTATTGTCTTAATACAAGGTTTTATACATAATCCTATACCTATTTAACAATAACATGACAGAGGGATAAATCAAGTACTACATTAATATTATGTGTTTTGGTTCTGAGGGCATACAATTTCTGGAATGAAAAAAAGAGAGGATCTGTTAAGTCTGCAAGGTACAATTCACAGTGTTACTCACCACTCTTACAGGTGCTTACAACAAACAAACATGGTACTGTTTAATCAGCTTAAACAAACTGGGAATGTGTTTTAAAAAGAATTTGTAATATGTAATTGTTACAAGGTCTAACTATGGTCTCAGCACAGGATGAATAACAAATTGCACTTGTTAGGTTTATTACTTTATGTTTAAAGGCTGTTGTTTAACCAAATACACAACCACACACAGGGTAACTCTTGATTACCTTACCTCTATTACATCTTAATATACATTCCTGTTTGGGCTGTCAATCACACTCGCAAATCTTTAGATTTTCCAAAGACATTCTATCCACTGCCAGCCTAGCTATTAGTTGTGAGGAAAACCTCATACTTGGCCTGAAATGCCACTTCCTGTGTGCCAAGTGGGCATGTCTACCACACTCCGGCACAGCGATGACTAACATAAAATCACTGCCACAGGCTAATTTGCATATCACGTGACCGGACTTTTCTCTTGTTTGTAAACAAACGTGCATATTCATAATAAGAAGAGACTGGACTCACGAAAGCTTTTCGGCGCTCTCTTCATATTGTTTTACATTGTTACATATATATTCTTCCACAACTGTGATAGTAAGGTCTATGACAGTACATATTTAGATATCAAACTGGCTGCATTGTTTGTTCTCTATCAGCTTCGATGACAGCATGTGGAGCCGTACAACCTATGTAAACAAAAGAATCGCTAGGCAAATCGAAATAGTGTTACATGTTTTTTTATATTTTCTCAGTGAAACTAAACCATTCTATTAAAGATGTTAGATGTGTAGACTCGTCAAAAATAAAAGAGTAAAAGAAATCTGTACATTATATTGAATGGACATTGCAAGAGGTGACGAATCGTCACATTTTTCTGGCCTGTGGCAGAGGTACTATGCTGGCTTGCCGCATGGAACTCTAGGTAGGAGAGTGCATGTCTACATAATATTACATCTGGTCACATTTGGTATGGTTGTATACACTCTGTAACATCAGGAAGTAGTTACAACATGATGGGCTCTCTGTAGGTACTCACCAAGTAGTAATTCAAGTCATCAAGTTCTTTTTGCAACATAAAATAATGGAATGTCAGCGTTTAATTGAGCAAAATACAAACCAATAAAAAATGTTGCACTGCTTATAGCTTTAGAGAGACAGCCTTTCCTCTTTTATTTACAGAGGGTGTCACTGCATGGGTACATGCCACTGATATTTCTTCAGTTAAGCTTGCACAAGACTGGAGCATGTCTCATTGTCTTTCAGGGCCAGAATGGCTGTTATTGTCCAATATCAGTCACATGCATCTGACCCTCTTGGGCAAACCCAATACACTATCCCTGTCAGAAGTAGAAGTGTTTTCTATTGAGACAGATTCCTGATTTCAGTCAAAACTCTGTGATAGTACATCACTGCAACTCAAAACCACAGAAAGCATAGGAAACACCAATGTATTTCATGCATGTAGAAGAGGACAAATGCTAAGGGACCAATCTCTATATAAACATACTGAAGCTTCAGAATGTACAAAGTGATGACTGAAAGTGCAGCCACTTGGAACAATGTATCCATGAAACAAGTGGTGGTGAGCTGCCAGTTGAAGAAGCCTCAGAATGCACTAATTCTTACTTCTGCTTCATACAATCCAATCTCGAGGGACTGTACTCCCTGGGACCAGGCTAGCTATTCTCGCAATGTTCGTAGCCCGACGAACATCTTAAGCTCATTCTTAACACATTGGCTACGATCAAAGTTAAGAATTCTTAGGCCTACGAATGTTTCGAGAATAAGGGCCCTGCCTACCCTTCTTACCTTCAGTCAGTGACAGGAAATGAAAGGAACATTTCAGTCCTAGAATAGATGATCACAGAAACATTAGAAGTATGTCAAATACCAGAAGCATACTTGTAAATAACTTCAAAGTCCCAAAATTGTAAGAGATATTAGTTTCTAGTAATAGTTGTATGATAATAATTGATAAGAATCTTATGACTGCCAATTATCCCCAAGGATGTAAAGTGGGAAATTTGGGAGTTGATATTATAGTTGTGGTGTTTAAAACCACCATGATTTGTCCAACATTCATCAACTCCATGAGGCATACTCCCTAACCTGACCCGTGAAGGTCCGGGGTAGAATATTGATCTTCTGTAACCCATGCTTGTCGTAAGAGACGAATGAAGGGATCGGGTGGTCAGGCTCACTGACTTGGTTGACACATGTCATCGGTTCCCAATTGCGCAGATCGATGCTCATGCTGTTGATCACTGGATTGTCTGGTCCAGACTCGATTATTTACAGACCGCCACCATATAGCTGGGATATTGCTGAGTGCGGCGTAAAACTAAACTCACTCACTCCCCAGTCTGGCCTATTTCAGCCAACTTTCTCACTGACTTATGGCATTCACTTACGTTGCCCTGGCTGTGGCATTCTTTGGATGTTGCGCTGCTCGAGGTGAGCATTGACAATTTGTGCTTTGCAAATAGGACTACAATGACCATTCCAGTAGTGCTTCCTTGCATGAGTTGAGCCAATCCACCACTAAGTCTGTCAGTGTCATGAGTTCTCAAGATGACATTGGCTTGACTTTCATTTTGACTTCACCTGACTTGCCCACACCTATTAAAGAAGTGCAAATTGAACTGGGACTCGTCTGAAAACATAAGGTGAACAGCCACAATTACCCCAACTTTCAATGTGTGAACCAATACTGTATCATGATGCACGCGGGCTGGAGATGCACTGCATGAAAATGATTTCTAATTATCTGAGTCATGAATCGTACTCAAGTGGCCTTTTTTGAAATTTACATTCGATTCATTGTTTGAGCTTGATTTTGTAGAGCCTTCCTTCAGATCAGTTAATCCTGTACTCATGTTGCTGGCCTGTTGAAGGAAGTAACTTCTTCCTGAGTTACACATGCACAACTGCATTTCATCTGAAGACTAGAGATAGACAGGCTTAAAACACCACAACAGTGTTGATGTAAAACTGCCATACATCCAGACATGGCCAGACAGTATGTGACCAGAGCTAGGATCATGTACCAAGGGTCATATTGAAACTTTTACTGATGCTGTCAACACTGGTTCTGGCTCTGGCAAGGGGTTCCAAATTCAGAATTCAATGTCTAATGATACTATACCTTAACCATATGTCCCATAATTTCATGCAAAGTGATTTAAGAATGAACCATCAATACAGATACATTGTTGCTGATGGTTCCATCTGTATGTAGCAGTGATGGATACAGGACAGCTCTATGCAGTAGGGCTCTCGCTCTCACTGTTGTACAAGGCTACACAGATCTCTATCCTTGACTCATTCATGTTTTTTTACCATTCTTGCTGAATGATTTATTCAAATCTACGCAAAGGTCATAAAAGGACATTACAAAGATGTTAAAACTACACAGAACACTAAATTTGACTTTTAAAGTGTGTTGAGACAGTTCGTATCTGTAGAGTAGATAACACCACTGAGCAGGAGAAAGAACAAGGACAGATTGCCCTGCTGGATGAGAATGTGTCCGTGTGTCTGCCATCATGTGTCACAGCCTGTGTCCAGAGTTTTGGAATGTGTACATGCAAAGTCTAATAATTAATTTGTCATTAAAAATGTCTTTTGTGTAACATCTGTCACTGTGTGACGCCAAACCAGTATTTATTTAAACTGATTCCCAAAGATTCCTAGATGAACCGAGCAATGAAGCCAAAGAGAACAGCACACACAGCAGGGAAGATACAGTGTCTGTTTTATTGGCCCTGTCTTAGATACTTGATTGTTAATCTTCAAGTGACTGTGCATCACTAACCACAAGTTTGCAGGGTTTTACGCAACACACAAAGGTGCGTCCAGTACTCACAAATGTAGAGAATGGCCGTAGAAGAAAAATTCCAAACGGACGCACAATATTATCCATTGTACCCACAACACATTTATGACTTTGTAAGGTGTTTGGTTGTTTCTTTCTGAGCAGTTACGTGCATCATTTCATCCCTCAGTCCACATGACCAATGAGTCATTACAGGCTCTAAAGATTGTATCAAAACCTACAGTTCTCTACACAGTTACTTCACAAAACCCTTGTTTTGCCCACACTTAGGACCCTTAAAATACCAATTAGGGGCCCCTGGGACCCCCATGTTTGTGAGTCCAGGTAAAACCCTGGGTTTGTGTGACCAGATGACTTACAGATGGTCATGATGTATTTACTGTTGTTGGTGTTAAACAACATTCCTCCACTCCGGATTGTTTGGATAAATTATACAGTATGTTCAGGGAATATAGAGCAAATGTGTCATCATGAGAAAGAAGCCATCAAATAAATGAATCACCTTTGTTCCACGGCTACTGAGACTTGGTTCAGAGTGAGGACGACAAGAACACAGTCTCAGATATGTATGTTTGTGTTTTCAGTATACCGTCCACTGTCCGTCCACTTCGGACATTCACGCCAAAGAATGCGTGTCCGGTCACCCCAAAAGATGTGTTTCTGTACCACTCCAAGAAGAACATGAGCTTTGTGGGACCAGGTGAGGCGTCAGTCAGGGTGACAGCTCTGTTGATTGGTGTGTAGTAGTATACTTGTAGAAGTAACCAGGAGTAGGTTGATCAGGTAATAACCAATAGCTGTTAGTCTACAGCTGAAGGGAGGTAACTCTTGATAACGAGACGCTGAAGAAGCAGTAAAATCTCCAGAAATATACCCGTATGACAGGAATTTATTGACATCAGTTTCGTTATTTTGAGGAATATTACGTTTTGGATCCTATCCAAGGACTAAGCATATGCTCGGAAATGTTGAGTTTTTCATAATAAAGAAGTTGGCGCCCATAAAATCCTTCCCTTGTGTGTATCCATTCTAAATGCCATTCAAAGACTATAGGAATATAGTTAGTCTTCCCATCAGTGCTGCATCCTATATCCAGCAGTATGTGTGTCATCTATATATGTGTGTGCCCTAACCCTGCATGTCCAGCGTTGTTCACATCTTAGCATGGATACTGGGGCCAGGGGGTTCAAAATCCAGTATTGTAAAACTGCTAAAATACTCTAGAATACTTCAATATAGTCATTGAGTCATTCTAAAAGGCCAGAAGGCCTAACTTTGTCACTATGGAATTCTTTACCCTCATCCAGACACACCTGTACAGTTTCCAACCCCCACCCTCATCCAGACACCCCTGTACAGTTTCCAACCCCTACCCTCAGCTAGACACACCTGTACATTTTCCAACCCCTACCCTCAGCTAGACACACCTGTACAGTTTCCAACCCCTACCCTCAGGTAAACAAACCTGTACAGTTTCCAGCCCCTACCCTCAGCTAGACGCACATGTACAGTTTCCAACCCCCCACCCTCAGCTAGACACCCCTGTACAGTTTCCAACCCCCACCCTCAGCTAGACACACCTGCACATTTTCCAACCCCTACCTCAGCTAGACACACCTGTACAGTTTCCAACCCCTACACTCAGGTAAACAAACCTGTACAAGCCCCTACCCCCTCAGCTAGACAGCACATGTACAGTTTCCAGCCCCTACCCTCAGGTAAACAAACCTGTACAGTTTCCAGCCCCTACCCTCAGCTAGACGCACATGTACAGTTTCCAACCCCCAACCCTCAGCTAGACACCCCTGTACAGTTTCCAACCCCTACCCTCAGCTAGACACACCTGTACAGTTTCCAAACTCTACCCTCAGCTAGACACCCCTGTACAGTTTCCAACCCCACCCTCAGCAAGACACACCTGTACAGTTTCCAACTCCTACCCTCAGCTAGACACACCGGTACAGTTTCCAACCTCTACCCTCAGCTAGACACAACTGTATAGTTTCCAAACTCTACCCTCAGCTAGACACACCTGTACAGTTTCCAACCCCTACCCTCAGCTAGACACACCTGTACAGTTTCCAAACTCTACCCTCAGCTAGACACACCTGTACAGTTTCTAACCCCTACCCTCAGCTAGACACACCTGTACAGTTTCCAACCCCTACCCTCAGTTAGACGCACCGGTACAGTTTCCAACCTCTACCCTCAGCTAGACTCACCGGTACAGTTTCTAACCCTTACCCTCAGCTAGACGCACCGGTACAGTTTCCAACCCCTACCCTCAGCTAGACACACCTGTATAGTTTCCAACCCCTAACCACAGCTAGACTCACCGGTACAGTTTCCAACCCCTACCCTCAGCTAGACACACCTGTACAGTTTCCAACCCCACCCTCAGCTACACACACCTGTACAGTTTCCAACTCCTACCCTCAGCTTTATACACCTATACAACCCCTACTCACAGCTAGATACACCTATACAACCCAGAACCTCAGCTAGACACACCTATACAACCCCTAACCTCAGCTAGACACACCTATACAACCCCTAACCTCAGCTTGACACACCTATACAACCCCTACTCACAGCTGGATACACCTATACAACCCCGAACCTCAGCTAGACACATCTATACAACCCGAACCTCAGCTAAACACACCTATACAACCCCGAACCGCAGCTTAAGAGGCTGTATCAGCTCTGTCATTTGGAGCAATAAGTAGTTTACTTCAATGCAATGTAATAATGAAAAATGATGTTGTTATAACGAAATCCCTGAAAATTTTGATTACTTTTAGAATGACCCTGATGTTAGTAGATAATTAAAAACACATTGGTTTTGTGGACATATATGAAAGCTTTTTTTGTTGTATTGATGACACTCATCGAACACATTGTTTTGGACAAGTTATCATTGCAGTTCAAAAGTTAATTATTTTTCCTTATCCTGACTCATGTATTATTGCTTGTCTCCTTCCTTTCCCGAGCGTTAGTGGAACACTTATATCTCCTTTTTGAAGCTCCCTTAAAAAAATCAGACGTAAAATCACTACTCACCACGAGTTGTCTCCCTCTCCGTTTTGGCGGGAAAACGGCGCCACCCGTCTTCCCACTCTTCACTCTCTCCTTCTTCGCCCTAGTGGACAGTTGGGAGAGCACCTCTGTCTCCAACACGGCACTATATCCTTTGATAACTTAGTTATTACCCTATAAGTTACCTTTATAAGGTTTCAGGGTGTATCCTTCTACAATATGGTTTGAAATTTATTAGCAAATTTGACTGTTTATTCACGGTTTCACGTGATTGTTCAGTTTGTTTACATTTCATGAAAACCTGTTTTGTTGTAGGTTTAGGTTCTCTGCTGCAGACCCGCATTATTGTGCCCTAGTTGCACAACAATATGTACTTCCAGTTCTCGCTGTAAATTATGTCAGCAACTAACAAAAATTGAATTTAATAATTATTATTTCTCTGTACTTAGAAACGTGCTAAGGATAAATCCAGGCGGCTGTTACAAGTCATGTCTAAACCAGCTGAGTCCCCTTGAGAGCTGTCTGTCGTTGTCAGACGACATACTTCCATCCAGTGACCTGCCGGAGGCGTCTTCAGAAGATGGGCGTGGGATGAAGTCCGCCAATACGTCGAAGATAAGATCTTCTACGTAGGACAACTCCTCAACCCATACGAAGAAGAAGAGGCCATCTTCGTCGCAGAAGAAGCCTTACACCCCTAAGGCTTCAACGAGATCTACTGGGAGCTCTTCACAGACTACAAGGACCTTCTCTGCCGAGATCGTCCCGATGGAAGAAATAGGCTTGTACGAAGAACCGCCTATCCTCATCCCAGAGATACTGCATAAGAAGAAGACGCAGGCCTCAGCAACGGTAACGTCAGCACAGTCTGAGTTACCTTCTACACTGGCAGCAGGGACCCATGAGGTACAGCGATCCCTGGACCATATCGCTACCCTCTCAGATGCGTCATCTCTACAGTCGTCGCAGACATTCAACTTCGGGACCTTCATGCAGCAATTCTCCCAACAGATGATGGACCTGATGGAGAAGCGCTTCGCGCAGGAAAGGACCTTGCATGATAGTCAGGCAGCCGCCTCTCATGCTCAAGTCAGGACCAGTGCTGCACGAAGGACCCCGCACCGGTGGTGCATCTGAGATATCTACAAGATGTTCTAGCTCTAGGACTAAGAGCAGACCTACCCTGCACGACGTCAATGAACCTGCGCGAAGGAAGGGACATTCATCCGACCAAAATAGATCGTCATCTGATGATGAAGCTAATGAAGAGCCTTCGCGCAGGCTACCTACATCACAGAGAGGCTTACACCTCCAAGAAGATACAGAGAGACGTCTCAGGACTCAGACCCTCAACAAAATCTCTCACCTGCGCCGAGGTCGTCAGATAGATCATCAAGAATGTCACCATCACCATGCAGGTCATCACGGGATTCACCACATAGGAATATATTGCCTTCGCGAAGAAGGCAACCCCGGTTCACGTAGGCGGCTCACCTCCACGCAGGTCGCCATACAGATCTCCTCTTAGAACTACACATAGTTCTACGTGCGCATCTCCACACAGATTGCCACGCAGATCTCCATGCAGGAGGATACTCAACGATCATATCCAACTGGACATGATACAGAGGGCGATGGCGGAATCATATTTTCGGACTCAGAAATAAAATATTGGATGGCTAATGGACTGGACCTAAGCGTCACCCGCTAAAGAAAAGAATGAAGCATTTACGTACCTAATGAAGGACGATGATGTAGACACAATCACCCTACATCCAACTGACCCGGTCTCGGACGTACCTGAGGACCTTGACGTTGCCTTCAAGAAGGCAACAAAGTTCCAGTCTCCAAATATCCCACAGTTCAACGTAAAAAGCTGCAACACTCTCAGATGTGTCACTACATCTGCAGTCATCGCAGACCTTCAACATGGGTATTTTTATGCAGCAAATGATGGACCTAATGGACGGTTCGCGCCTTGCCTAAAGGACGAAGCTGCGGGAGGTAATCGGCATGAAGAAATGTGTGAAGGATCAGTCATGCTCTGCAGTTTCGACGATTAATATACTCGTCATTGGACCATCCCACTTCACCCTCAGACCTTGATCTTCGTTGTGAGCCTATACGAAGGAACTCTTCAGCATGGAGGAAGAGATCTTCGCCTGCGCAAAGACAGAGGGACACGTGTTGAAGTTCAAGAGGGGTACTCTTGTCCGAATTCATCACCTGCGCAGATCTTCAGACTGAATCCAGGATGGGATTCACATCATTGAGAAATTTTAGATAGATATATCTACATCAGAAGATAATAACGGGACTCATGTCCATATAGAGATCTTCACTTGCGTACAGATCTTCAGGTATTCACATTGGCGTGGTCCAGCACAGCCTTGCTAAGGCTATGAAGTTACAAAGTCAACATATTCCCAACGTCAGAGCTTGGGAATTCCCGCTACTTTACATGGGACCCTGCATAAAGGCTCCAGAGATTGATGTAAACTACAAGATCATCAACGACTCCCTTTGTAGAACTTACAACAAAGTTGAGCATCAACTCTACAAGGACCGGTGTGTTTCAACACAGAGAGGGTATTTTACGACGCTTCATTGAGATGGAGGAATGCAGTCTACAAGTGGCAGCGCTGAGGAGGTGTAGACTTCAGCTGATCATCTGAATAAAAGGACGACTGCATTATCTTCAGGTCTGAAGTAACAGTCACAGCAGCCAGGAAAACAGCCTACCTACATCGGTATTACGCGGCGAAATCTTTCGCGCGTTTACCATGCAACCCTCTATACACGTTGCCACTTGTATAACTCTGTAAGGCTACGGACAAGACCAAGTGTTGATAAGATATCAACGACTGCACAAGATTCTATAAGGACCTTTTTTTTCTGCTACACCGGTGACGTCACATCGCGGGAAGCTAAAGGAATCATTTTGATTGGTCCATGAGAGTCACGCCCTGCGCAGAAGTCGGACGTAGTTCACATGTCAGGGAATTGTTTACAAGTGACAACAACCTTTCAACGTGGGAGGAAGGCCTCAATTACAGTCCAGTTAGACGGGAACTACGTGATTCGGCTGTCTTCACGGGGTTAGAGACCTTCCCTGTCAGCATTGAAGACGGTTCATCAGGCGAATTGCAGCAACATACGTTTGACGGACTTTTGGTTACGGCAGCCAGTCTACTTTATATAGACTTCACAACGATGGCAGTCACAGAGTCGGACATTGCTTCGTTTCCCTTACGGACATGGCAAGGGTTTCACGATTGTTGGATCTAGATACAAGCCATTGTATCTCAAGCACTACTCTCTCCGTTATTACTACAAAGTTGGCAGAGCCTACTCAGTCCTCAAGTCGGAACTACAGCCTACAGAGGACCGTTGGCTAAAGATACAACAGATGGTATCGCAAGCTCTACTCTCTCTGTGGCCACTCCGACAGTGGCAGAGTCTGTTGGGTCTCCTCACGTCAGCACAGGATATGACGCGCAGAGGGAGATTACAATTACGCCCACTACAGGTCTTCGTAATTGCACATCTGGACGATCCAGACCCCTTCGGACTCCCGGACAGACTAAAACCATATCTGCTATGGTGGAATCAGAGATCGAATGTTTGCGGAGGCACCTACTTAGCAGAGCCAGAGTGCAAAACGCATCTCTATGTGGACGCATCTCTCCAAGGATGGGGAGCACACCTCGACAACGAAGTGTCAGCTGGGAAATGGATGTTACAAGAGAAAGATCTGCATATCAACATGCTAGAAATGAAAGCAGTGATAAACGCCATACTCCACTGGACCAGCATTCTAAAGAATGCTCATCCAACGGTACACACGGACAACTCCACAGTGGCGTTCTACATAAACAAACAAGGATCAACAAGGTCGGCGAACCTTCTGAACCTTTGCTTTCATCTGTTCAGCATAACAGACAATCTGAACATCCACATTAAAGCATGCCACATTCCAGGAGCCAAGAATGTGATAGCAGACGCACTATCTCGTCCAACTCAGCCATCCCCAACAGAATGGATGATACATCCAAAACTCTTCAAACAGATCATACAAGAGATAGGAACGCCACTAATAGACTTGTTTGCCACAAGATTCAACAATCAACTGGTAACATTCGTCTCTCCAATACCAGATCCACGAGCATGGGCAACAGATGCTCTAAGCATCTTTTGGGAAGGACTAAACGCTTACGCGTTACCGCAACCAGCTCTAATACCGAAAGTGTTGCAGAAAATCATGCAGACGAGGAACCTGCAACTGATTTTGATCACGCCTTACTGGCCAGCGAGAATATGGTTCCCCATTCTCATACAAGAACTAGGACCGCCTCAACTGCAACTACCAGAGTGGATGAACTTGCTAGTACATCCACACACAAAGCAAGCACACGGCAACCCCAAAGTGTTCCGCCTACACGCATGGACCGTATCAAGGCGTGCTTGAATAAGAGAGGATATTCCGCCAGGGCAGCTAAAGCGGTCACGCTAGCTTTACGCAAATCAACACGCAACTTGTACGACGACAAGTGGCGAAGCTTTGAGACCTACGCTTTGAAAACAGGCTTCACAGCCATGAAAGCAACACACCCTCAAGTGGCGGACTATCTTTGTCACCTAAGACAAACGAAGTGGTAAAAAGGGTCAACACTCTCAACATACCTAGCGGGCATTGAGCTCAGTTATCACTATGAGGACGAGTGTAAAACTGACTAAGGTACCAGAGTTACTGGCCTTACTACGCTCTTTTAAACTGGAGGACCAACAAGATTTAAAGATTTAAAGCTCCGGCTTGGGACCTCAACATAGTTCTACGGCATCTCACCAGTGACGCTTATGAACCATTAGATAGGGCATCTTTTGAGTTCTTGACACAGAAAACTCTATTCCTGATTGCCTTAGCAGCAGCAGCAAGGATGTCGGAAATACATGCTCTAGACCTTGAAAGGACACGATTTGATGAAAATCGAAACATCGTACATATGGGACTGAGATGGGACTTTATAGCAAAGAATCAACTGCCAGGTCAACCGGACAGACAATTCCACATCCCAGCATTATCATCAGTCCTTGGGCCACAGGATACACAAGACCTATCCTTGTGCCCAGTAAGAGCATTAAAAGTCTACCTACAAAGGTCTAGGACCAGGAGACGAAAATTCAAGCGTCTTTTTATCCCTATATCGGCAGAGACACAGACTGAGATCTCTCGCACTACGATATCAATATGGATGAGAACTGTCATTCTCTACGGGCCTACAAAGCAGCAGGACTTGATCCTCCACGAGCCTCAATCCACATGAAATTAGAGCTCTGGCGTCAACACTCGCTCTACATGGAAACTGCTCTATCACGACGATAAAGGAGGGCTGCTTCTGAAAATCGGACATGGTGTTTGCCAAGCACTACCTGAGAGACATCGCCACTGAGGAGGTCTCCGGCATTCACCATTTCGGCCCACTTGTTGTAGCACAACAACTGACAGTTCCACAGAGGCGCTGAGACAGAGTCTCTCGCCTTTTTATCACATGACTTGCAAAAGCCAACACTCAGGAGAGTTACAGCTTTAGAGTCCATATGCACGTCTAAGACAGACTAGCATGACTGATAAGACCCAGTACTTGTAAGGACATACTCGTACATAAGAAGGGTCGCTTCTCCACTTGATGCATGCATCAAGAGATGGAGTTGTTAAAATCCACATATAATGTTAACAGAAGCAAGGACCAAAAGTTGACAATTGTGGTCCCCCCATCAGAGAAAGCTGGAAGTAAGGGTTACAGCAGCAGCAGAGCCTAGCAGTAAATTGAAGTGCTACCAGGAAGTTCCCATAGGGGGGTATGCAAGACGTAAATCACCAAATTGGAATCCAGAAGTGGCTCGACCCACCACCAAATCCGTCGGATTCTACAAGCAATAATACATGAGTCAGGAGAAGGAAAAATATGTAATTTTCTGAGTAAAATTGATATTTTATAATTATCCTGACTCATGAGGTAAGCCCTCCCAACCTCCCCGCTAGGCACTTTGGATTTCCCAGCAAATCTAAGTGTTGGGCTTGCAATTTGGAGAGAGTGAAGAGTGGGAAGACGGGTGGCGCCGTTTTCCCGCCAAAACGGAGAGGGAGACAACTCGTGGTGAGTAGTGATTTTACGTATGCTTTTTTTAAGGGAGCTTCAAAAAGGAGATACAAGTGTTCCACTAACGTTTGGGAAAGGAAGGAGACAAGCAATAATACATGAGTCAGGATAAGTATACAATATCAATTTTACTCAGAAAATTCCATATTTGTCAAACTTTTTAGCATGAGAGCTGTTGATTTACATTTTCAATGCAAGACTTGTTTCCTGAAACCTAACTGTTGATACAATTCCATATGACAGATGAACAGCCATTAGAGTGTGGTGAGTGCATTATACCTCTGTTACTCCTGTCCTATTGTAGTATTGTAGTTACCTCCCCTTCTCTAACTCTCCCACGTGCTGTGTGGTGAACATGCCACGAGCAGGCTCTGATCACTTCTTTGTGTCCAGAAACAAGTGTTGACAAGGAACTAACTCATTCCCTCTTTCCTGGTCTCTGTAATTTGAGATCATGAGAACCACAGAAATGCTTCCCTGAGTTCATGGAGATTTTTTCCGGGGAAAGTCAGGCTCAGAAAAGGTAACTGCCAGTCACTTGACAGGTCATCTCCAAATGTTGTAAAACATTGTACTGACAAGCCTTCCTGTTGATCAAGCATCAGTATTTGCATAAAAATCTACTTATCATGTACAACCAAATGTTTGGATCTAAGTGAGAACAATATTGTCTCCTTATTAATATTGTCTCCAACAACTGTCAACAAACAGCCTGAAGTACACATGTTAAAAAAATTGTTTATTTCTTTTATATATATACACATATATATATTAATTTTTATTTTTATTTATTTTTATTTTATTTATTTATATATTTTTTTTGGGGGGGTCTATTGTTTTACTTTTTGGGCATGATCAGGTATTTCATCATCCACACATGTTCAACCACACAGCACAGTTGAGTCTGCGTGCTAAAGTCTGCATGGGATGAGGGGCATGGATAGAAGACAGACTCTGCATCTTGCAACCTCTTTCTCTTCCTCTTTGATTTTCCCATTCTATAAATATAGTCACTGAAACAAGTTTAGATGTTGTATATTGCTGACACAGCTGATGTTAATGTGCATGTAATATGTTTCACTGACACTTGGATTCCACGCAACATTCAAATGTACAATTTCTAGATTTTCTTTCTGTAAGCATGCCCAAATGTGTAGTCTTGTCTCCGAATCATATCTTACAACAGTCTGACAAATCTTTGCTCAGCTATTTTTAAGACTATTATTTTCAGTTGTGACACAGGTGAGTTGTTCTACTTCTTTGACATGGTATTAACCGTCTGCCATATGAAACTACATTCACATGGATAATTCTAACAATGGTGTATTGAAATATTTGGTGTCTGATTTATGTGTTCCAGATCAAGTGCCTTGTTGCTGTATTTTAGTATCTATATCTTGGGAACCTAGATATTTATTGTATTAATTCCTTCAATATAAGGTGTAGTAACCTTCTCCTTCCTTCTGTATTCATGGGCTGGGGAGGTAAAGAGCATTTTCTGCCTTATGCTGGGTGTTTTCAAACCTGTGAATAGAACAGACTTCACTTATTCTCAGCTGAAAGAATATCTTGTAAAACAGAACCTTCTTTCAGACGTGATCCTAGAGTGCCTTGGTCTCAACTGGGAGCTTCACCGGCCATTTCTCCAGAAATCCGGGACCCTAGCCACTTTGCTCCACTCTGCCACAGACCCCTCTTCCCAGAAGTACTATCGCAGCTCTGCCTCTGAGACCCTTGATAACTACATAAAAAAGAGTGAATTCTACAGCAACGAATACCGCGACATCAGTCAGCGACTCAGTGTTGTGGATGATGCTCCAGAAGAGAAGAAGGGCATTGGACATCCTGCTCACACATCACAGCAGAGGACGGGGACAGTGGCCACAATAACACTGGACATAAGTGATGCACTGGTCACAAAGAGAGGTGGGTGTTTGTTGTTAGAATCATGGAGCTATTACAGGTTTAAGTCTGTGTTGAAGTATAGTAGTTATGATAATCTTAGTGTGAAGATTGCTTTGTGACTGTGGTCATAAAGAGAACGGATGGGAAGGGGGTACCTGGGATGGTATTGTTGGACATTGATGATGCTCTGGGTGGATGAATGAGAGGTGGTTTTCTTTTAACTTGAGACTTGATTCCTTCTTTTGACATTTCAATCAAACAAGGCCATAATTGTTGGTGGTAAAATAATGAATTGTATTGCAGCTGTGGCTGTTGCCCTTGGCAACCTGTACCATGATGAACTGGAGGTGGATGTTGATGACGTGGCTGGAGTGCTGGTTGTTGCTTCAATCCTCGACTTCAAATCCCTTGTTGATGGGTCAGTAATATTAGGTTACACCAGGAGCTTTTTTCTGGTTTTGTCTTTCAGGCAGAAACATGCTAATTGCTACAAATACATCCCTGTAACACTTGATTGCCTTCTTCTAGAAACTCCCCTATATTGTAAAGGACCTGATACTTGCTAGTATGCTCTGTCCCTTTGAGATCCAGGATATCTGAAGACAACGCATGTCTATGAGTTATCTTTTCTACTCTTACCTGAGGTTGGTTGTCGTGAAAACGGAAATATGACTTACTACATTACGGGGGGCTAATGCCTCAAATGGTGGACTATAGTTAAATAACTTCCGGTATGTTGTTATATCCAGTCAAGGATGCAACTTCATTTTCACAAATGAATGGACAGGATTTAGACCTGAAATGACATCCTCATGAGGTCATCAGAAGTACCATTAACTGGAAATGACATCAAAGTCCACCATTATACTAACTACAGCAGTAAGAAGGATCCAGAAGTAATGTCACAATTAGAACCAGGCTAGCTATTCTCGAAATGTTTGTAGCCCTACGAACTTCTTAAACCCATTGTTAACAAATTAGCTACGATCAAAGTTAAGAATTCTTAGGGCTACGAGAGTTTAGAGAATAAGGGTCCAGTGGCTATATGCATATGTCGGGCGTAAATTCTAGTCCGGGCGTAAGTAAAATGTGCACCCGGCCGTAACGTTAAACTGGTGTGCATATGTTTGACATAGCTAAAGTTACGCCTTTAGAAATATACGACGACCTTGATCTGTACAGAAGATTTAGATTCAGGAGAATTGACGTTTTCAAGATACTGGATACAGTCAGAGGTGATATTGATTATGGCAATTCCACCACATATTATTGGGTTTTCTCAGTGTTCTTTGGCTTTCCATGATCACGACTGAAACAGATGTGCCGCGAAAATGTTTCACGCCTTTTCCCGATAGTTTAAAAAGTTTGAAAATAAAAAAATAGCACACTGCGCCTTGACGTAAATCCATTAAGTCAGGCGTAGTAACACCTAGGCTTGCACGACATTGTGCATGAGCAGGGCGCTGCTAAGCCCGACGTAGTGTGTTACGCCTGACGTTGGCTACGCCCGACATGTGTGTGCAGCCACAGGTCTAATTGTTTTATTGGTTAACAAATAAACGCTAAACCTGTGGACTCAGAAACAAGTTTCAGGAAAAAGGCTATCAATTGTTAGAGGTAGTGTTAAGAATTATTATCATCGTCAGTGAACGTGTAAGGTGCTCCCCACCTGGAGAGATAAGCTGGTACAAGGTGGTTGTGTGTTGCAGGTGTTGTGACATCATGTTGAAGTCCATCAGCTCCAAGACTGTATGTACATATCACCACACTGCCTCGCAGGTGAGTCACTGGAACATCCCAAACTGTTACATCAATCACAGCAGTTCCACAGTAGACACTTGTAAAGGAAACAGTTGAAAATGTATTTGACTATTACTTGCGTCACCTTGACCGATGCCATGTGATGTTTCAGTACAACCAGGACCATGTGGTAGGGGCTTGTGAGAGATGGCTGGAGCTTAATCTCATCCCACAGGTTAGAGTTGTCTCCCTTGACCTTGTTGACACATTGACAAACTACAGGGAAACTTTTTTTAAATGGAAGCTGATGACATCAGTGAAACAGTTTGCTATTGACAGATTCAGTTGTAGTGGACAGCAGTTTTATGAAACAAATTTTAACATCACACATTGTTTGACAGATTAGTCAAGATTTTTATATGCATACAAGATAAACCAAAATACAGAAACTCAGTACTGTCCACTGCTGTGTATGCAATCATTAGGTGCCAATATTAGCCAGTATCAATATTTTTGTAGTACATGTATTGTTGTTTGGCTGTTCCTGAATTAAAGATAATAGTAAAAGTATCATCATTTGTTCTAGATGTTTGGTAAATGTTTTTAGGGTATTTTAATAGAGACAAAAGTATATTGAGATATAGCTTCGTTTGAATAAGCTCCTTTGCCGTTGTGAGAAATGAGTAGCAGCATTTAGTTGGGTATACTCCAGCTGGAAAGAGAGGTTGGTCAAGTTTGTATGTCTCACTTTCAGTTAGCCTGTCAAATACAGCTGAGAGATATGGCAGCCGATCTACTGCAGAGAATACTGAAATCTAACAGGTAGGCCTGTCATACAGACCCTGAAACAAATATATCCAAGAAAGCCCATGCAAGTCTAGAATATGTGGCAAGTCTAGATTTCCACAGTTTCAGGAAATGATGGAAGACTCAGGGATGCTTTGCATTATATTTTATTGTTTTTATTATGAACTGTTTTATCTGTAAAATATGTTCATTTCGGAGAGTTAGTGAGTGAGTGAGTTCCAGTTATGTGGCGCTGTTAGTCTATACATAGGGTGTACAACAGATGGGTTCTACTACATTATAAGTTGTTCACTGGTCACGAGGGGGGCATGGGTTGATGTACCCTTGATGTTTGTTTATGTTCCCTGAGCCCGAACCGATGGGCCCCGAGGGACCAGTGAACAACGTATTTATCTTACAGAACACCTTAATGTTAATTTTGAATTGTTTGAAACACGGGTACAAATCTTTAAGTAGCCATCGCCAGATTTTGCTGACAAGAAAAACAGATTTAGAGTTATCTCCCTTCCATCGATTTGCATTCGCAAAACATCGGTAATTTCCGTACATCATACGTGATTCAATGTTATTCGAGATAAAGAATTACTACCACGAAGTACCAAATGAGTTGCCATTGACAGCGGGGTACATTGAAATGTTACTCACTTGTAAGCGGGGTACATTGAAAATAATAGAAGAGTGCTCAGCCAATCAGAAAGTGTCATTTATGTGTGACGTAAGATAAGTGTATTTGTTTGTTCATATCAGTGTAATAGAGTTAAATAATTAATACACCGTGAATTTGTATTAAATAGGTAATAATATTAACAACTGCTCAAAATATTTATCATTGGTTTTTCCCTACCATACATTTTTCACCCATCTGCTGTGTTTCTATGTTTTGAAAAGGTAGTCACAGCATCTTTCTTATAGCAGCAAAGCATATACAGTGAAGCCCCGTTAGTCCGGACTCCGATAATCCGGATGTCTCGCCTCCCGGGCGATTTCAGCTTGTTACCAATCTATGCCTATATAATTTTGTTACCAATCTATTCGGTTTCCGATAAAGTAGCTGTCACCAATCAGTAAAATAAACAGTAAATTGCTTCACAGTCTGGACGCTGTAAGTCGTGTTCACGAACCGTAACAACACCTCCCGGCGATGTTTACTTAATTAACTGGCCAACTGGGTTGTTGTTTTAATTAGACATTAAAAGCTCCTGACTGAAGATACTATACATTTACACTTTGATTGACACCACAATACAAAGGCGTGGATGACAAGTGAGCTGTTTTGTGATTGGTTAATGTACTTTGACAGACAGATGCGGTTACGTGGACTTAAAGTGATTTTGCTTTACGACAATGCTGCAAGTCACAAGTGTGCTTCGCTAACTTTGCAAAATGTGACCAAATACCACGTCTCATATTCAACCGATGGATGCAGGAATAATTCGGACATTCAAGGCATACTACAATAGATCGCTTGTTAGACATTACCTCACCTGTGCTGAGGAAGGACGAGATCAGACACGCCGGATCAACATGCGGATGTCACTCGGTAAAATTATTGATGTGATGAATTAAGCTTTACATTAAATGCTTATTTGTTTTATCCAGATTCGTGTCGTTTTTGTAATAGTTAGGGAAGCAACTTGGGTCTTGATTCAGTAGTCCGGACTATTCACAATCCGGACGAATTTACTGAGAAACGCAACCGTCCGGATTAACGAGGCTTCACTGTATATGTGGGATTTATTAAAGATTTTACTAAACGTTCCCCTTAACAGATGCATACTTAACACTGAGATTCTGATAACCATCGACAGATCATACCAGTTATCTGCTGTGTTACAAGAAAATAATATTGTTGTTGTTCTTTTATGTTTTGATTACCATATTAATGTTCTCACAAAATCTATAGAAAATGTATCAATGTTTTTATTCCTATTCCAATAATTCATGAAACAGTGATAGGTATTTCTCTGGTTTCAATATCAAAATCACAGTTCCTGTATCATCACAGTCCATGGTGTCGTGAAATCACACCAAGAATGGTTTGTACAAGTGGAGTAGGATATTTGTGTGGTGATTATAAAGCTGACTGTAGGTACATGTACCTAAGATTGATTGTGGCTAAGATTGCTCTGTGCAAGTCGACCCTGCACAAAAAGTTTGAATGTTGACTACGGTGAGTGATGTTGTTGCAGATTGTTTGTGTACAACGAGTACAGCGTGTACAAGACGCTGGTGTACTGGCTGTTCCTGCAGGTGAACCCCGACATCCAGCTCATGCCGTCACACAGCACAGTACTGGCATTCTTCAATAGGTAATGCATCAACATCGCTGAAACTGATTGTGTATAGGACCTATTGCTGATTCATTACTAACCGAATCTTGGTTCAACTGTTACCACCTAGTTTTAGATGGCAGGTTATAGATGACCACAGTGATATTATCCCTAAGTAGTAAATATTCCAGCCTTTTTTAATCTGGACCCAGTTGACCAGTTGCAGCGAACATAAGCATTAATGACCACTCATTGTAACCATCCAATCCTTAGTAAGCAGCACATTATTCTAGAGGCTACCCATACATTAATCACTAAATTTGTCCAGCCTGTTCTAAAACACCAGTAAAGACTTAAGAATTTGTTTTATTACTCGTCTGTGGGAGATACTGCACTGTAATATTTACAGCAATATTACACTAGTGTAATACTGCTAGATGTATGAAGTCACAATGCTAATACCTCTGTCACAATGGTATTAGACGTTGTTTGACTCACGGAAAGCTGAGAGTCATCACCCTGTAGGTAGTTTCTATCAATTTATGTTGGAGAGTAATAAACAGAATACTAAAATCACTTCCTTGAAATACCATTTTTATTAAACTTGTGAAAGATTAAGTATCAAATCATTAACTCGTTTAATAAAAATGGTATTACACAGAAGGTCATTTAGTATCCACTATTTATTAATTCACCCCTCCCTCATGCTTTCAACCCCAAATAACTGTCCTGAAATGTATACAAGCTTACCTTCTATTCCAGGTACAGCTTCTAATACAGCTGTTCCCAATGTCTTGTCTTTGCTTGTTGATGGGCAGAATTATGTACTTTCTTTTAGATAATTGACAACTTATTGGTATAAATACAAGAGCTCAAAACTTAATGAAAACCTCATCATATGTGACTAGCAGATGAGTGGCCTAGTGAAAACCTCATCATATGTGACTAGCAGATGACTGGCCATGTGAAAACCTCATCATATGTGACTAGCAGATGAGCGGCCATGTGAACCCTCATCATATGTGACTAGCAGATAAGTGGCCTTGTGAACCCTCATGATATGTGACTAGCAGATGAGTGGCCTAGTGAAAACCTCATCATATGTGACTTGCAGATGAGCGGCCGTGTGAAAACCTCATCTTGTGACTTGCAGATGAGTGGCCTTGTGAAAACCTCATGATATGTGACTAGCAGATGAGTGGCCATGTGAAAACCTCATCATATGTGACTAGCAGATCAATGGCCTAGTGAAAACCTCATCATAGGTGACTAGCAGATGAGTGGCCGTGTGAAAACCTCATGATATGTGACTAGCAGATCAATGGCAATGTGAAAACCTCATCATATGTGACTAGCAGATGAGTGGCCGTGTGAAAACCTCATCATATGTGACTAGCAGATGAGTGGCCGTGTGAAAACCTCATCATATGTGACTAGCAGATGAGTGGCCTTGTGAAAACCTCATCATATGTGACTAGCAGATGAGTGGCCATGTGAAAACCTCATGATATGTGACTAGCAGATCAATGGCCATGTGAAAACCTCATGATATGTGACTAGCAGATGAGTGGCCATGTGAAAACCTCATCTTGTGACCAGCAGATTAGTGGCCATGTGAAAACCTCATCATATGTGACTAGCAGATGAGTGGCCGTGTGAAAACCTCATCTTGTGACTAGCAGATGAGCGCCCATGTGAACACTCATGATATGTGACTAGCAGATGAGCGCCCATGTGAAAACCTCATCTTGTGACTAGCAGATGAGTGGCCATGTGAAAACCTCATCATGTGTGACTAGCAGAAATGTGAAACCTCATCATATTGTGTCTTCTGTACAACAACCGTGGTCATATCAAGTCTTCTGTATTACAACCATGTTTGCCTTACAACCATGTGTGTTCTCCCTCCAGCTTATCGAAGAACACTGCCTTCCTGGAGCGAGACGAGAGTCAGATGTATGCTCCCCTGTTTGCAGCTGTACGACTACATGGGATCACAGACAGTATGAGGCTACTTACATTGTTATCATAATTAAAACAACATAGCATTCTGTCCGAGGCTAATGAAAAACTGATGTTAGTCATTTCTGGATAAGGTTGATTGTGGTCAATTGTCTCATCATCATAAACATTTCTCTTGTAAGATTTCTCCTGTGAGTGAGTGAGTTTAGTTTTACGCCGCTTTTTAGCAATATTCCAGCAATATCACGGCGTGGGACACCAGAAATGGGCTTCTCACATTGTGCCCATGTGGGGACCTGAACCTGGGTCTTCAGCATGACAAGCTAACACTTTAACCACTAGGCTACCTGACCACCCTGATTTCTCTTGTAAGATAACTGGTGAGAAATAGGCAGGTTCCCTGGCCTGTCTGACTATAAGATCTGTCCTATAGCTCATATAAAATAGCTTGTAGTAGGAGACCACTATATTCAGATCTGTCTTGCACCTCTTCATACAATGGTCGATTCAAGCAGTAAATCCTTGGAGAAATCAGAGGTATTTTGACCTACTCTTGATAGTCCAGGGAAGTAATGTACATAACAGTACAATGATGTTTCAGCTGGGAACATTCAAGACATGCAGATAATGAACATCCTGCCCCAGAAGTGGCTGGTGGATCTCCTGTCTCAGCACTACCACGCTGTGAGTACACACCTTACTCTATGGTAGGCACACGCTGAAGGGATGACAGTACTGTAGGCACATAGTTTAGTGATGACAGTACTGTAGCCACATAGTTTAGTGATGACTGTACAGTAGGCACACAGTTTAGTGATGACAGTACTGTAGGCACATAGTTTAGTGATGACATTACTGTAGGCACATAGTTTAGTGATGACATTACTGTAGGCACATAGATTAGTGATGACAGTACTGTGGGCACATAGTTTAGTGATGCCTCTACTGTAGGCACATAGTTTAGTGATGACTACTGTAGGCACTTACTTTAGTGATGACATTATTGTAGGCACACACTTTAGTGATGACATTATTGTATGCACACAGTTTAGTGATGACATGATTGTAGACACACAGTTTAGTGATGACATTATCGTAGGCACATAGTTTAGTGATGACATTATTGTAGGCACACGTTTTAGTCATGCCATTATTGTAGGCACATAGTTTAGTCGTGACATTGTAGGCACATAGTTTAGTGATGACTGTACTATAGGCACACAGTTTAGTGATGACAGTACTGTAGGCACATAGTTTAGTGATGACTGTACTGTAGGCATATAGTTTAGTGATGACTGTACTGTAGGCACATAGCTTAGTGATGACATTACTGTAGGCACAAAGTTTAGTGACGACTGTACTGTAGGCACATCGTTTAGTGATCACGTTATTGTAGGTACATAGATTAATGCTGACAGTACTGTAGTTTAGTGAAGACAATATTGTAGGCACACAGTTTAACAATGACATTATTGTAGGCACATAGTTTAGTAATGACAGTATTGTAGGCTCATAGTTTAGTGATAACAGTAATATAGGCACATAGTTTAGTGATGACAGTACTGTAGGCACAGAGTTTAGTGATGACAGTACTATAGGCACAGAGTTTAGTGATGACATTATTGTAGACACACAGTTTAACTGATGACATTACTGTAGACACCTATACTGTAGTGATGACATTACTGTAGGCAAAGACTATAGTGATGATATTACTGTAGGCACATGCTAACATGATGATGTTACTGTAGGCTCACTATAGTAATGATATCACTGTAGGCACACACTATAGTGATGATATTTCTGTAGGCACACACACAATAATGATGATATTACTGTAGGCACATACTATAATGATGATATTTCTGTAGACAGAGAATATAGTGATAATATTACTGTAGGCACACACTATAGTGATGATATTACTGTAGGAACACACTATAGTGATGGTATTACTGTAGGCACACCCTGTAGTGATGATATTACTGTAAGCACACACCATAGTGATGATATTACTGTAGGCACACTCTATAGTTATGTTTCTGTAGGCACATACTATAGTGATGACTATACTGTAGGCACATACTATAGTGATGATGTTTCTGTGAACACACACTATAGTGATGACCATACTGTAGGCACATACTATAGTGATGACTATACTGTAGGCACTACTATAGTGATGATATTTCTGTAGGCACACACTATAGTGATGATAATACTGTAGGCACATACTGTAGTGATGATATTTCTGTGGGCACTTAGTCTAGTAGTGATATTACATTAGGCAATTGCTATAGTGATGGTATTCCTGTAGGCACATAGTTTAGTGATGATCATACTGTAGGCACATGCTATAGTGGTGATATTTCTGTGGGCACACACTATATAGTGATGATATTTCTGTAGGCACACACTATAGTGATGATCATACTGTAGGCATATACTATAGTGACTGTATTGCTGTACACACACTTGCTAGTGATAAGTGATGACATTACTGTAGGCACACACTATAGTGATGACCATACTGTAGGCACATGCTATAGTGGTGATATTTCTGTAGGCACACACTATAGTGATGATATTTCTGTGGGCACTCACTATAGTGATGACCATACTGTAGTCACACACAATAGTGATATTTCTGTAGGTACACACTATAGTGATGATATTTCTGTAGGCACACACTATATAGTGATGATATTTCTGTAGGCACACGCTATAGTGATGATGATACTGTAGGCATATACTATAGTGACTGTATTGCTGTACATACACTTGCTAGTGATAAGTGATGACATTACTGTAGGCACACACTATAGTAATGACCATACTGTAGGCACTTAGTTTAGTGGTGATATTGCTGCAGGCACCCACTACAGTGATGATATTACTTTAGGCACCCACTATAGTGATGATATTGCTGTAGACACCCACTATAGTGATGGTATTGCTGTAGACACACACTATAGTGATGATATTACTATAGGCACCCACTACAGTGATGGTATTGCTGTAGACACACACTATAGGGATGGTATTGCTGTAGACACATACTATAGTGATGGTATTGCTGTAGAGACACACTATAGTGGTGGTATTGCTGTAGACACATACTATAATGATGATATTTCTGTAGACAGAGAATATAGTGATGATATTACTGTAGGCACACACTATAGTGATGATATTACTGTAGGAACACACTATAGTGATGGTATTACTGTAGGCACACCCTGAAGTGATGATATTACTGTAGGCACAACCTGTAGTGATGATATTACTGTAGGCACACACTATAGTGATGATATTACTGTAGGCACACTCTATAGTTATATTTCTCTAGGCACATACTATAGTGATGACTATACTGTAGGCACATACTATAGTGATGATTTTACTGTAAGCACACACCATAGTGATGATATGACTGTAGGCACACTCTATAGTTATGTTTCTGTAGGCACATACTATAGTGATGACTATACTGTAGGCACATACTATAGTGATGATATTTCTGTAGGCACACACTATAGTGATGATAATACTGTAGGCACATACTGTAGTGATGATATTTCTGCAGGCACTTAGTCTAGTAGTGATATTACTTTAGGCAATTACTATAGTGATGGTATTGCTGTAGGCACATAGTTTAGTGATGATCATACTGTAGACACATGCTATAGTGGTGATATTTCTGTGGGCACACACTATAGTGATGACCATACTGTAGTCACACACAATAGTGATTTTTCTATAGGCACACACTATAGTGATGATATTTCTGTAGGCACACACTATATAGTGATGATATTTCTGTAGGCACACACTTTAGTGATGATCATACTGTAGGCATATACTATAGTGACTGTATTGCTGTACATACACTTGCTAGTGATAAGTGATGACATTACTGTAGGCACACACTATAGTGATGACCATACTGTAGGCACATGCTATAGTGGTGATATTGCTCTAAGCACACACTACAGTGATGATATTACTTTAGGCACACACTATAGTGATGATATTACTATAGGCATCCACTACAGTGATGTACAAACTGTAGTGATGATCATTACTGTAGACACATACTATAGTGATGGTATTGCTGTAGACACACTCTTTAGGGATGGTATTGCTGTAGACACATACTATAGTGATGATATTACTTTAGGCACACACTATAGTGATGATATTGCTGTAGACACACACTAAAGTGATGGTATTGCTGTAGACACATACTATAGTGATGGTATTGCTGTAGACACACACTACAGTGATTGTATTGCTGTAGACACATACTATAGTGATGGTATTGCTGTAGACACACACTATAGTGATATTACTTTAGGCACACACTATAGTGATGGTATTGCTGTACACACATACTATAGTGATGATATTACTACAGGCACCCACTATAGTGATGGTATTGTTGTAGGCACACACTATAGTGATGGTATTGCTGTAGACACATACTATAGTGATGATATTGCTGTAGACACATACTATAGTGGTGATATTACTGAAGCCACACACTATAGTGATGATATTGCTGTAAACACACACTATAGTGATGGTATTGCTGTAGACACACAATACAGTGATGATATTACTTTAGCCACACACTATAGTGATGATATTACTTTAGGCACACACTATAGTGATGATATTACTATAGGCACCCACTATAGTGATGGTATTGTTGTAGACACGTACTATAGTAATGATATTACTTTAGACACACACTATAGTGATGATATTGCTGTAGACACACACTATAGTGATGATATTACTATAGGCACACACTATAGTTATGGTATTGCTATAGACACCCACTACAGTGATGGTATTGCTGTAGACACACGCTATAGTGATGATATTACTTTAGGCACTCACTATAGTGATGGTATTGCTGTACACACATACTACAGTGATGATATTACTATAGGCACCCACTATAGTGATGGTATTGTTGTAGGCACAAACTATAGTGATGGTATTGCTGTAGACACATACTATAGTGATGATATTGCTGTAGACACATACTATAGTGATGATATTACTGTAGACACACACTATAGTGATGGTATTGCTGTAGACACACACTATAGTGATGGTATTGCTGTAGACACATACTATAGTGATGGTATTACTGTAGACACATACTATAGTGATGATATTACTGTAGGCACACATTGTAGTGATGGTACTGTTACAAGCCACTATAGTGATGGTATTGCTGTAGACACATACTATAGTGATGATATTGCTGTAGAGGCACCCACTATAGTGATGATATTACTGTAGACACACACTATAGTGATGGTATTGCTGTAGACACACACTACAGTGATGGTATTGCTGTAGACACATACTATAGTGATGATATTACTATAGGCACACACTATAGTGATGATATTGCTGTAGACACACACTACAGTGATGGTATTACTGAAGCCACACACTATAGTGATGATATTACTTTAGGGCACACACTATAGTGATGATATTACTATAGGCACACCCACTATAGTGATGGTATTTATAGGCACCCACTACGTGATGGTATAGTAAGTGATATTACTTTAGACACACACTATAGTGATGATATTGCTTGTAGACACATACTATAGTGATGATATTACTATAGACACACACACTATAGTGATGGTATTGCTGTAGACACACCCACTATAGTGATGGTATTGCTGTAGCAC